CCAGCGTGTGTCGCGTTTCAAATATTGAACACTGAAACAAATATATATCTTTTTTATTACAAATTTATTTATATTTCTTTTTCGTTTAAATTATTATTAAATATATCTAATATTACTTTTTAATTTTCAAAACTTTCATGTTACAGTTATTAATATACAGTGAAATGATATATGTTGATTTCTAATGTTATCGAATTCATTATGCATTATTTTCTATTATTCTAAAGTTATTTCTAATTTGTATATAACATAGGAAACATTGCCTAATATATATTTCACTGCATAGGTTTACATTATTGGCAAAAAGAATTAAAATTGGCTTATCTTGCTGTTTGAACAAAAATAATCACCACACATTATTGTAAACTTGTGAACAGTTGCAATATATGCTGTGCGTCTACACTGTAAAAAAATCTGGTGTAAATTTACTATGTCCGACGTTGGAAAGTTTGGTCACTATGTCCGACGTGGTATTTTTACACGCCGACTGTAATCTACATAACCTGCAAATATTTTTTGAAATAATATTTTCAGTCGTAACTTTTTGTATTTATGAAATATAGCCCAAAACTTTTTGTAATATTATTTACTTATAAATTAGCATATACTTTCTATAAATGTACATTATATACACTTTTTTAGAGTTATTTATAAAAACTTGAAAATTTTTTGAAAATCTTAAAGGAATAAGAAAATTACATTCGCCATGTAATTGTACAGATCGTGCGACGTAATATTACGTCAAAGTGTAGAAATACACGCAATGTAAAAATACCACGTCGGACATAGTGATCAAATTTTCCTACGTCGGACGTAGTAAATTTACACAAAACTATTAAATTACATAGTCGTATAATGTAAAATTATTAAAAATAGTAAAACTACTTTTGGAACGAAATAAATTTACTACGTACAACCTATAATTTTGATGTGTGAAATTACAAGTTTCGTGTTATTTTACACCAGATTTTTTTACAGTGCACTGTAAAAAAACTTTAAAAAACTTTAAGATTTTCAAAAAATTTTCAAGTTTTTATAAATAACTCTAAAAAAGTGTATATAATGTACATTTATAGAAAGTATATGCTAATTTATAAGTAAATAATAATATTACAAAAAGTTTTGGGCTATATTTCATAAATACAAAAAGTTACGACTGAAAATATTATTTCAAAAAATATTTGCAGGTTATGTAGATTACAGTCGGCGTGTAAAAATACCACGTCGGACATAGTGACCAAACTTTCCAACGTCGGACATAGTAAATTTACACCAGATTTTTTTACAGTGTGTATGCTGCGCGTTTGTTATGTGAAATGTGAATTTACAATAAGCGACATGTTTCTTTACACGCACGACAGGTTAAATAATCACCCGATTGTAAAATAACACAAACGATGTATTATTGCAATCTTACAATACATTTACATGAAAATGTAAATTTACTACGTCGGACGTGAAGCAAATTATTTCCAATGTCCCACTTGGTAAAATTACAAGATCTGAGTTAAATAACATTACAGGACGTCATAAAGTTACACAAAGTTGTGTAGAATTGCACTTGTAGGTTATATCACTACGTGTAGCAACGTAAATTTATCACATCAGACGTTGTAGTTTTGCTGAGTAAAATTACACGACGTGTGTTATAAAGCAATGTACTTTTTTACAGTGTATTGTTCATAGGAAAGCGTGAATGCCAATGAGACGATAATGGAAGATATGTTCATTAAATTATTTTTGACTTATTAATTATCAAAAATAAATTACATTTAATTACTTTTTTGTTATTTTGTTTCTAATAGTTTTCTATAGTCAAAAATTAATTACTATTATTTTCATGTCATTAACATTCAAAAATTCAACTATTCAGAAGAATTCTACACAAAATCACTATTTTTCTAAATTTATTTAGGGAAATCAGGAAAAAGTCAGGGAATTTTGTCAAAAGTGCTGGAATAATATTTAATTTCAAGAATTCATAAAAAAATTCTGAATGTTATTCTTCAGAATTGAAAAAATTTTAATTATTTTAAACTCTTCCTGTTTTTAACAATAATTAGACTTTACAGATTTAAAATTGATTTTTTTAAATAATTTAATTTTTGAAAAACTATCGAGAAAAAATTATTTTTTATGAATTATTTTGGAATAATTTTTTATTTAAAAATTAAAAAAATAATTGAATTTTATTAAATTTTTATTTAAAATTTTTTTTATAAATAATATAAATAAGTAGGTAGCAAATGTCACGCCTGCCAAACGAAGTATTTAATTTATTATTATTATTACTCAAAATAAATTCGATTATCTTTACAAAATTTCAATAAAAAATTCTTCGAAAAATTTATGAAAAATTACAAAAATGTTATCTTTTGAAATTATTATAGGTTTCTCCTAGTATCAATAGATAATAATGAATAATAATGCCTATTAACAATAAGAACGGGTACCTACACATGTGTAATCACAAAAAATAATTCAAATATTTAAAAAAAACAAAATTTTGTGCAAAAATTATGATTATAAAATAAAAATTATGCCTATTTTTTCGTTTAGTAAGAAAAATGAATTTCGTTAAAAAGTGAAATTTACAAAATTTATCACTGCTTTGCTAACTTTGACTTTTTAACTTTTTTTTTAACTTTTTTTTTTTAAATTTTATAAGTACTTGTGTCTTCAAAAAATGAATTAATTAAAGTTTTTTGAAATGTTACTTCAGTTTTACTTTACGAATGATTCAATCACTTTGTTACGACAAATTGTTGTTAATACAAATACACTGAAACCCCACTTATTTAAAGTCTCATTTACTTAAAGTCGCGTTTATTTGAACCCGTTTTTGCTTCAGTTATTTTTAATTAGAATCAGCCCTAACCCCACTTATTTTAGCTCATGCGCAGTACGCGACCAATGGAAAGATACTTACATTCTCATTGGTTGAGTTCAAACAAAACTAACCAATCATGTCAATTTATCGAATTACGTCACCAAAATAGGTTATGTCGACCAAAATACAAATAAACTTCGTGTCGAATTGCGTGGACCATGTTCAAATAAGTGGGGTTTCAGTGTAACAAAAAAACTAAAAAAATTTGTGAGCAAAAATTTTGAATGCTTTGCTAACTTTGCACAAAATTTCATTTTTAAGCCTCCCAATTATTTTTTCATTTAGTAAGAAAAATGAATTTTGTTAAAAATTGAAATTTACAAAATATATCACTGCTTTGCTAACTTTGCATAAAATGTCATATTTGTGCCTTTAAAAAATGAATTTAAAAATGTTTTGATAAAATTCTTTATCAGACTTCAATTTTAAGAAATTTTAATTATTCAATAAATTATTTATTTTTGCATTTAAATTATTGAATTATCTAATAAAAATTTATTTAAAAATGAATTTCAGTTAAAGTTTTACATAATATAATTGAATATTAAAAGCACTATATAGCATGAATTTGAAGAAATAATTAAATTTTAAAATGGTTCCAAATCAAATTCTTTAAAAATTTGTATTTTTCATACTTATAACTAAGAATTCTGTAGAATTAATTATTTTTAAACAGTTTAATTGAATTTTTTCTGAAATTATTTGAAGTGTTTATTTTTTAATTCGTAGGTATTTAATTAAAGAATTTCTGAATAATTTAAATTTCGTAAAATTGATTTGTAAACAAATGGATTTTAAAATTCTCAAAGAACTTTTTTCAAAAATTATTAAAAATAATTTATTCCTGTGGGAAAATAATAATGATTAACATTTATTTAGAAAAGAAGTTATTGATGTTTTCAAATAATTTTAGAATTAAAGAAATTCGTAAATAAATGTAATGGAACATTTTTTGGAGTGTCTAATCATTTTTAGAGTGAATCAGAATATTCTTTAGAGTCAAGGAAGAAGTCAAAATTTTGTCAAGTAATAAAGTTTTTCATATTAAAAAAAAGAAAATATTTTGCAGGATTTACATTTGATAATTATCTAAAATGTTTGTTACAAAATACTAATTTTTTAGAAACAAAGGAAATAATGAATATTATAATAACATTAATAATTTTTTTAGATTAATAAAAATATTGTTGAATTATTTGAGAAATAAAAATAATATTATTAAATTAAAAAAAAAATAAAGAAATGTAATAAGCATTATCTATCAAAACATATAAAAAAAGCATGAATTTTGTTAAAAAATCGTTATTTTTATATTCTATTCTATTTCTGTATTTTCTATCAAAACGTATAAAAAACAAAAGAATAACCATGACTATAACTTCAGGTGTGGACAGAATGAAAGAATTAATTATAGGATTATTATAGTTAATAATAATAATAATAATAATAATAATAATAATAATAATAATAATAATAATAATAATAATAATAATAATAATAATAATAATAATAATAATAATAATAATTCTATTCATTTTGATTTTTATATATTACAACTAATTATTATTAATAATAATAATTTTTTATTAGAAATTTTGCCAAATAAAATGTCTGTAAAATAATAATTTGGTGACCTAATATTCTGTTGAGAGAAAGTTTTGTTAAATTTAAATTCGCGTTAATTTAAAATCGAATTTATTATATTCAGGTGTATAAACATTCTTTTCAATAAATATTATAATCAATAATATTAATGGAATATTCATGTGTCTACAAAATAAATTGCCAATTTCTAAACTAATCTTTAATTTGAAAATAAAACGTTAATTTCAAAATTAATCATCAATTTTGAACTGAATTGTTAATTACAAAATTAATTTTTGATTTCCAAAATCTTTAATTTTAAAATTAAATACTAATTTTGGAATTTAGACGATTTTTGAATCATTTCCTATTTAAAAATGCAATATTAATCTCTAATGAAATTATTTAATTTTTAATTTCAAAAAATGAGTCTACTTTTAATTAAAAAATTAATTTAAAATTAGAAATTTAGTTTCAAAATTATTTTGCACAAAAAAAATTAATGGTTTTCAAAATTATTTCGCAGCTATTTGGGAAAATACGCCGGGACTCGCCTCATGATTTGACGAAAATTGTACCGGTGGCAGGCGATGTTACGGAACCGGAACTTGGAATCTCGGAAGAGGATCAAAATCTACTTATTCACTGTGTGTCAGTTGTATTTCATTCCGCAGCGACTGTTAAATTCGACGAGGCCTTAAAATTGTCCGTCACCATTAACATGCTTGGCACGAAACAACTTGTCGAGCTTTGCCACCGTATGCACAATTTAGAGGTGAGCTTTTCACCCCTTGTGACCTCTCCTTAAATAATTCAATAGGCTAATCCAAAAATTATTTATCGTCTCTGATTTTCTTGATTGATTATAATTGTTTCGTTTATTTATTGAAAATTGGTTTTTAATTACGATTGTTTGGTAATTAGAATTGTTAATTAATTACATTTGGATGCTATTTTTTATTCATTAATTTTGTTTAATTACAATTGTTCAATTAATCAGAATTGTTCCATAATTACAATTCTTCAATTAATCAGAATTATTCATATAGTAATTATAATTACTCACTACTTAGAATTATTCACTACTCAGAATTATATAGTAATTGTACTTAATGAATAATTATTCATTCGTTTCAATTTTTTTTATTGTTTTATAAAATTATTTATTGGGATAAATTAAAATTATAAGTTTACATTAATTTATTACAATTGTTTCGTTCATTTCAAAGAAGTGAATTTAATTTTTTGCCCTTGGTGATGAAGTTCACAATGTTTATGATTAACATTTAAAAAATAAAAATTAAAGAATTTATAGTTTTTTTAATTCGAAATATTTTTCTGGAAATGGATCAAGTAACTTTAAAAAGAAGTTTTTGTAAAGTTTTTGTAAAAAAAGTTTGTAAAAATTTGCCTGCCTCGAAAAATAAATTTTTTTCTTCTGAATTGTTGATTATAAGCGATTATAAGCATTATGAACTTCAACAAAGTTCTTTTCATCCGAACGGAGGGAAATGAAAACTTTTTTCTATATTTTATTCTTGCGAAAGCTCGTTTAATAATGAAAAATGAATAAAATTTCAGGCCCTAATTCACGTATCGACGGCTTATTGCAATTGCGATAGAACTGATGTTAATGAAGAAATTTATCCAGTCCCTTTGGATCCGGAACAAGTGATCTCTTTTACCAAGTGGATGGACGATAAGCTCGTCGAGGAATTGACACCAAAGCTCATTGCTGGAAGGCCAAATACCTATACATTTACAAAAGCCCTGGCGGAGAGAATGCTTCTTTGTGAAAGTGGTACATTGCCAGTTGCAATCGTTCGACCATCGATTGTTCTCTCATCATTTAAAGAGCCAGTTGCCGGCTGGGTTGACAATTGGAACGGACCAACTGGAATTATTGCCGCAATTGGAAAAGGTTTCTTCAGGTGAATTTTCTTTTCTTAATCGATAATTTCATCAGTAGTCAATCTTTTATAGACTATAGCAAATGTTACCCTCGAAACGCGATGTTTCATTTTTTTATACGCAAATTAGAAAATTTTTTATTTTCTAAAATCAACTTTAATTTTTTTTTTTGTAATTTCAGATTTCAAATTCTAATAGAATTCACTTATTAACTAATTAATTTTTATTTACTATTTTCAAAAATTTTAATGAAATTCTTCAAATCAATTATATTATTTTCAATACAGTTTTAACTAAAATTATTTACAAAAATTCAATTATTTTGATATAAATAATTAAATTTTTCTCAGGAATTCAATTATTTTCACAAAAGATAATAAAATTATTTCCAAAAATTCAATTATTTGAATATTATTATTATTATTATTATTATTATTATTATTATTATTATTATTATTATTATTATTCAATTATTACTTATTTTCATAAGTAATAAAATACTTGGCAAAAACTAAATTATTTTCAAAAAGTTTTTAAAAAATTCTTCGAAAGAATTTAAGTATTTATTTTTAACAATTTTAATAAATACTTTTAAACAATTCAAATATTTTCTAAGAATTCTATTAAAATTCTCTAAAAGAATTAAATTTTTTCAGATTTAAAATGATAAAAATGACAGAAATTTAAAGAAAAAAATTCACTCCAGTTTGTGTAAAATAAAAATAATTTCTTAATTTTTCTTGCAAAAATAGTATCACAGAACTTATTCTCTAAATCTGAATTAGTAAAAATTTGAATTAAAATTACCAATTTAATTAATTTAAATTTAACACTTTAAAACATAAAAACAGTTACTTGTACATTATTGAAGAGAAACTAAATTTTTTCCATGCAAAAAAAAAGTTATATAATGTTATTTATTTACTGAGAAATACTGGATTTAATTTTTTTTAATGTCTTATTCTATGTGATCCTATTAATTATTAAAATATTCATTTTTTTTGAAAAAAATCTTATTTATTGTTAATACACTCTCTAAATTTAAATGTATTAAAATCATTACTAATTTTAATTAGGTATAGTAATTGACTTTTTGCTTTTAAACTATTTAAAATTTACTAATGAAGACTTTTTAAAATTTATTAATTTATTAGTAGGTAAATTTTAATACTATTTCAAAAACGGAGAATAAGTCAAAAAAAAGTAAATGTCAAAAATTGGTCTGTCATTTTATTTATTAATTGACTTTTAAATTTAAATGTATTAAAATCATTAGTAATTTTAATTAGTAATTTACTTTTTACTTTGAAATTAGTTAAATTTTAATTATTTCAAAAACGAAGAATAATTCGTTATAAAATTCTAATTAGTTACAATTTTTACAAATTGAGATTTAGATTAAAAGTTTTGTAATACTACTTTTTGAAGAAAAATTTGGAAAAAATTGATTTTATTTTCCATAATTTGCTTTAAGGGCATTTGAACCTTGATGACGTTTCAGTTTGTGCAAAGCATGTGTGACGTCATCAAGTTTCAAATGCCCTTAATAAGTGAATTTATTAAAATTTTAAAAGATTAAATATATTTTTCAAATATTAATTAATTTTTAACCTGAAATTATTTAGATTCAATTTTTATTCAATAGAATATTATTCAGATATTTAAAAATAAAAAAATTTCGTAATTTTTATAATAATAGGCGTAACGAGTAATTCTTTTTTGTTGTCATAACATTTGCTAGCAAATGAATAATTTTTGAAGAAAGTATTTATAACCAATTGAAATTTCTGAATTTCAGAACAATGATGTGCCATGAGGAAAAAGTTGCCGATTTGGTGCCAGTCGATATTGTTATTAATTTAATGATATGCGCGGCATGGAGAACTGCAACACATCCAACTGACAGTATCATGATTTATAATTGTTGTACCGGTCAACAAAATCCAATAACATGGAAGAAATTTGTTGATTTGGCATTTAAATATACAAGAATGCATCCAGTGAATGATGCAATATGGTATCCAGGTGGTCGTGCACGAAGTTCCTCAATTTTGAACAAAATATTTGTCGCTTTCCAACATACGTTGCCCGCTCACATCTTGGATTTTATTGCCAAATTGAAAGGATCGAAACCATTTATGGTTCGTATTCAAGCGAAACTCGATAAAGCGGCCTCGTGTTTAGAGTATTTTAGCACACAACAATGGAATTTTAAGGACGATAATGTTAGAAGACTGGATGCACAACTCAGTCAACAGGATAGAGAAACATTTACGTTTGATGTTAAGCAAATTGATTGGCCGTCTTATTTGGAGCATTATATTTTAGGAATTCGGCAGTTTATTCTCAAAGAAAGCCCAGAGACACTGCCAGCCGCCCGCTCACATATTACAAGGTAATTTTATTCACTTTCTTTTTTAATTTCACTCATTCTCTTATTGACATATTTTATTAATTTTTTATTTATTTGCATCCTTCTTCTCCTGATTTGTTATTTTCGTTATTGTGAACCTATTTTTTTGTGATTTTTAAATAATTTTTTATTGCTCTTTTGTCAATTTTTTGCACTATTAACCAATTTTTATTGGTATAATTCGAAATTTCTACTCTACGACTATTTTGTTCTCTGACGAATTCGAATTTTGGACTTTTAAACAATTCCTGGCTTCAGGCCAATTTTTATTCTCATTTTTTTTCTTCTTTTTTAAATTGTGATTTAGGAAAATATTCAATCAAAGCTGGAGACTATTTTTCCAAGTGGTTGTTTTTAAAATTTTTTTCTTTTCAAATTTTACTTTTTTATAATTTTTGTAATTTTTTTAGCATTTTTTAATTGCCATTATTAACCTACTTTTAAACTTATAACGCAAAAAATATGTAGTGTTTTTTTGGCAAATTTTTCATTTAAAAGCTCGCAACTTCCTAAATTTTTAAGCTTCTTAGTTGCTACTGGGATATTCTTTTTCAATTTTTACGCTTTTTTAAAGTATGCATTGAAAGAAGAAAAATGTTGAAAATAATAACAGGAATAGGATCTTTTTCACAAAAAACCATAAATTTCTTTTATTTGAAACAAATTATTTTTAATTTTTTTCTAAAAGCTTCTTAAATTCGTCAATTTTTAAGATTTCTAAATGTTTCTTGGGTCAGAATTTTTTATTTATTATTTAGATTTATTTCTGTTTACAAATTCATGAAAATTGAGAATTTTTTACGAAAACTTTTGCTGGTTTTTTTTAAAGAAACATTTTTTTTCCCCTAAGCTTTTAAAAAATGCTGTAAAAATAAAAGAAAATGTTAATTTTTCAAGTTGAGTAATTTTATAAATTCAAAATAAATTCAATTTTTTAGATTCAATTTTTAGACGTAAAATTTAAAAATATTTTGAAATATAAGAAAAAAATTTTTAAGGTAATTTTATTGTTCTTTTCAACAGATTGTACTGGTTGAACAGAACAGTGCAATTTGGAGCGCTCGTAATTCTTTTACGTCTGTTGCTGTCGCGCAGTACTTTGGCCCAATCAGTGTGGTTCTCCCTCCTATCTCTGGTTCTTCGGTTATGCCGAATGATTGTTTGACGGCTCAGAACCCTGAATCATGATAATAATGTTAATAATAATGATGATGATGAAGTTGATGATGATAATGGTTGCAACAAACGTCACAAAATTTCGGAGCTGGCCAAAAAGCAAAATCTTAAGGTACAAATTGTCCTTAAGTTTCATTGCTCATCATCAGTCTCCAGAACAACAACAACAACAATAACAACAACAACAATAACAACAACAACAACAACAGCAACAACTGCAACAGCAACAACAACAACAGCAACAACAACTGCAACAGCAACAAGAAAAACAACAACAAAAAAACGCTATCTTTATCCCCATAAATTGGCCTTCCCGATGTTCGTGTTCGTTCGTATACATATTAGCGAAGACTAGAGACGTATGTTTATTCGAAGAATGTCGGGTACCGAACAAAAAGTCATCGCAACTAAAGAGAAAAAAGAAAATGTTTTGGATGCGAAAACAATAGATGAGAGAAAAAGAAAGAGAAAAAGAGAAGAAAAAACTACTTAGCATCCGTCATGGAATTGTAGGGAAAGGTTTTTGCTACTTTTTCTTATTGAACCAAGTACACGCGAATTCCTTGAAGAATAACATAACGCTTTCATCCTAGTCCAATCCTTCTACATTTTTTTTCTTTATTTATTTATTTAATTCCTCATCGACAAAAAGGAAGAAATAAAAATCTCAAAAAAGTAGAGAAAAAAGAGGCACACATTTATTAAGTCGCTATAATCATTTTTATCGTACCGATTAATTTTTTCCGATTTTCTTATAAATCTATATTGGTTCCGAGATGTGAATCTTTCTTTTTTGTAAATCTCGTGTCTCGTTTTTAAATATGGTATCAGGCATTATTTCCCTCTTACTTAGATTATATATATATATATATATATATATTTTTTTTTTTTTTTTGCTGTTTTATAGCAAAGAAAAAGGAACAATTTTCGTCACACGCCCTTTTTTTCGAGAATTTTTCGAAAAAAATCATCTCCACGCGTATCTTATTCACAATTTTTTTTTTATATAAGCAAAGCTTTATGAATTTTTTGTGTTTCTCAAAGGCATCGATGATTTTTTCATTTCTAGTTTACGAAAAACTATCGCGCAAAGAAAATTCCAATCTCTTTGCGATTTTCTTATTATTAACGTTTAAGTGATTAACGTATAGGATGTGTGTAAATAAACAAAAAAGGAAAAAAAAAGACTAACCAATATTATTGTGTATTCGTGAATATTCTGTTTAGGTGAAATATCGGTGACTATATCGAAGTATATTTCTCGTAATTTAAAAAATGAAAACTACCAAGATTATTGGACTCTATGCGCTTCCCTCCTTATACCAGTGAGTCTCTTTATTAACAGTAGCAGAAAAAATACATTTTTAATATATTTTTTAGTATTAATAATTTAATATTATAAAGTTTTTAGAAATAGAGAGAGATTGTTATTATTTTTTATTAATTATAAATTATTAGTTATAAATTATTTGAAATTATTATTTATAAATTATTAATTATAAATTATTAATTACGAATTATTAATTACAAATTATTAATTATAAATTACTGATTATAAATTACTAATTAATAATTACTAATTACTAATTATAAATTAATACAAAATTTTTAATTAGTAATTTAATTATTAATTCATTATTAAGTAATTATGTAATTTAAATTTTTAGTTATAAATTATAAATTTAATTAGTAATTATTAATTGTCGGAGTTTCAGCTTTAAGAATCGTACGTTGATTAATGCTAATTTGTAGTAAAGGTCGATCCACTTACGATTTATTATCTAAATAGACTAATTTCTAAATCGATTATAAATAATTTGAATTTGTAATTAAATCTTAAAAGTGGATTCACTTTTTTTTAGACTGATTGCATGGGGGGTTTATTTCCTCCAAGATTATGTTTTTTTTAATTAATTTTAGGAAAGTAAATTAATTTTGTGTGATATTTGTTTTTTTATTTTGTATTTTACTGTGCGTTTTTTTAAACAAATTAATAGTTCTAAGCGACTTGAAAAATAAAACATACTCCATTTTATTAGTCAGTGTTTGTATATTTATTCTTGATAAGAAAAAAAAGAAGAATTCGTGCCACGTATATCATGATGCCTTTGAGATACAATAAAGCTAAAGGTGTATGTCTTAATTAATAATTATTTAATTTGTACCAAAAGATATTTGCCTTAAGCTGTTATTTAAGTCGGAGCGGGCTTCCCCTTAATAAAATGTTTTATGATCTGCGTGGTTTGTGGTTATGGGAAGGTTTTTAAAAATGGAAGTAATTTGTGAACAAAAACAAAAAGAAATGCCAGGAATAAATTAAAATCAACGATTTTTTGCTTTTGTCGACAGAAAAAAGAAACAAAAACAAATTTACAAATTACTTAGAATAAGGGACTGAAAAAACAAAAAAAAATACAAAGAAAAAAATTAATAATGGAGAAAGAGGAATAAGAAATGATAGCGCTGCAAAAGGTCATCAGCTAGTCTCGTCCGTAAATTTTATTCGGTCACATGATGCTTATGACAGAATATTTATTAACATAATTGATTTAATTAATATTATACTGTACTATTATAAAAATAAATTAAAACACAATGAAACATTGGAAAAGGAAATCTTTTTTTTAGTTTACTCTAGAAACCTGATTACTAAACTAATATTAAAAATGATCTTTTTCGGTTTTTGGTTTTTTAGTTGTTAATTAGCGTTTTTATTCGATTTTTAATTAATGAGTACATTACAATATTATAACAAATAAGAAAAATAAAAACTAAGTAAATAAATAAAATAAAAGCGAAATAAAAAATAAAAACTAAATTTTTTCTGATCCAAACTTTATTTAGTTTTTATTTTAATTATGAATTTTCATTATTAATCGATCTTTAATTAATTAATAAATAAACAAATAAATGAAATAATAACAAATTAAAAGAATAAAATAACTAAATTTTTTCTATAAACTAAACTTTTATTTTGATTATGAATTAGAATTATTAATCGATTTTTAATTACTAACTAAATAAAATAAAGGGTAAATATTAGTAATTATTTTTTACGTCCATCGCTATAATTTATATAATTTTTTTTATTGACCTTTTTGTGGACTTAAGAATCCTTTAAGTCCACGAAAAAGGTCAATAAAGATAAAAGATTAATTAAAAATAAAAAGTAAATAGCTAAAAAAGAAATAAAGACTAAATGCAAAGTTTAGTTCAAAAACAATTTAGTTTAGAAATACCTATATTTTTTTATTTATTTGTTTTTATTTCAATTATAAATTAGCATTAATGATCGATTTCTAATAATACTAACTAAATATCTAAACAAGTTGTAAATCCAGATGTTCAGTACATGAACATTTTCTCTCTAAATCTGAATAAGTGAAATTTCACTTATTTTAAGTGAATATTCACTTATTCCATGTTTCAAAACTCTTCCACGTAGAATAAGTGAATATTCACACATGAAATAAGTGAATTATATTCACTTATGAATAAGTGAATTCACTTATGAATAAGTGAATATTCAATTATGAGATAAGTGAATACTCAGACATTAAGAAGTGAATGTAAATAAATAATCAGGATCAGTATTATATAAAAAAAATATTTATTTACTATCAACTATTTAACACTCTCTTCTCTTCTCATTATCAGTCTGAAACTTATAAACATATTAATTTTTCAACTTTTTTAAGCTAAATTCCCAAACGGTCACCCATCCTAATATTAACTGCAAGCAATGTCGCTTTAACTTTTATGATCAACGAGAAACACTACAATGCCACAGGCCACTTAATAAGTTGCCTTATACTCGTAGAAAATTATTGGGTGATACTTATAAAGAGTTAGTTTATTGTGTTCTACTTTCACGTTTTGTTTAAGATTTCTCTTATTATATATGTATATAAATACTTAGTAAATAAAAAGTTAGTTATTAGATTACTGTTAATATAATATTTAACTGAATATTTTTTAAAAAATTTATTAAATTTTAAATGACAATTTTTATAACTAAATAAAATAAAAAATTTCTAATATATTAACTGAAATGATAAAAACATTGTTTTTAAACATTTAAAAGTTGGTATAAATAATAAATTGTAATATAATGCGCAGATGGATTTCTTTTTAACTAAATATTTCACTTATACATAAGTGCGGATTTCACTTATTGATAAGTGAAAACAAGTTCACACATAAAAAAGTTAACTGAATATTTTTTAAAAAATTTATTAAATTTTAAATGACAATTTTTATAACTACATAAAATAAAAAATTTCTAATATATTAACTGAAATGATAAAAACATTGTTTTTAAACATTTAAAAGTTGGTATAAATAATAAATTGTAATATAATGCGCAGATGGACTTCTTTTTAACTAAATATTTCACTTATACATAAGTGCGGATTTCACTTATTGATAAGTGAAAACAAGTTCACACATAAAAAAGTGAATATTTCACTTATGTATAAGTAGATTCTACTTATTAATAAGTGAGAAAAAGGTTCACACATGAAAAAAGTGAAAATTTCACTTATTCAGATTTAGAGAGTTGCTTCCTCTTTACGATCAGCAAAAAAAATTTGCTTCCTCGTGGAGGAAGCATTAACGACGCGTATATTTAATTTTTAAATCATTTTTAATACAATTTAACATTAATAAAGTTCATTCGTCTTAATAGAAAGAATAAAATTTTCTTATATAGTAATATGAATCTAAATAAACAACAAAATTTTAGTAAAAAAGTGAATTTTTCAACTTTAATTGTAATTAATTCTATAAGTTTCAATATAATATATACTTTATATACATCAATCGATTCGTTTTGATGCAAAGAATAAGATTTTTGATTTATTTTTCAATAAATAATAACATTTTATTGCACAGCAACATGATTTTTAAGAAAAAATTAATTTTTATTAAAAGTGCAAATTTTTTGTCTATAATAATTTGTTTTAATTCTATAAATTTAAATACAATATATACTTTATATATTACCAGTCGATTCGTCTTGGTACAAAGAATAAGATTTTATTATAATTATATTAACTTCAATAACCAAATTAAAAAAATTTTTATGATAAATATACCTGGCAAATTTTAGCCAAATTTTTTAAAACCTCTTCGAGTTATTGTGTTCACAAAAAACGGGATCCACACACACACATACATCCGGACAATTGTTCAGGGTCTTGTATAACATAGTCCTATATAGAAGAAAACTTGTTTAAAGGATTTTTAAAAATTTTGTAAATTAAACGACTACAAAGCTTCCTCCACGAGAAAGCATAAATAAAAACTAAAAACAAAGTGAAGTTTTAAAAATATTTATAGTTTAGAAAATTTTTAAGTGAATTTTTTAATTTAAAATTCCCTAAGTTAAATAATATAAAAAAAACGAAAGAAAAAATTTTGAATAGGTATTAGGTATATAGGAATTTTTTTCTACGAAATTATAAAAAAAATGAAAGAGAAAATATTTTGAATTATTCGCTCCTGTATTAAAAGGGCTTTCACACTAGCTGCAATGTAATGATGAATTGATGAATATTAAAGAAACAGGTTTTTATTTATTTTTCCTAATTTATTTGCTTAATAAAGTGCAATATTATGGTTATTAATGATATAATAATATTTTGAATAATTTTTAATCCCAGGTTACGGTGGTTTAAAATAGTTGAAATATGTGGTGCCATTTATTGATTCTCGAGTGCAGTGGTGCCATATTTCCATTTCTCAACTGACAACCTAGCAACCTAGCATCAACTGACATGATTTTATCTACTACGCTATAAAGTATCGTGCATTGTTCTCTTTGCCTTTTATTGTTTTTAAAACTAAAATAACAATACTTAAATGTTAAAATTGTTTACCAGCAGTGACAGTGTGAATTTTTGTTTAAAATTCAATTTTTACAATAATAACGAATACGACATGTTTTCTACTTGAATCAACGACTGGTAATAGAAAATATAGATAAATGCCATTTTACGAAACATTTTCGGATAAATAGGTGGCAAACTTTTTATTGTTGATACAAGAGAGGAATTATTATTTTGTTTTTCTTTTAATTGGAAACAAAAAATTGTGAATATATAGCGTAAAATGGAGCGTAAAAAGAGAGATGTTGTTTATCATAACCAAAAAAAAGAGGATTCTGGTGAAACAGAGGTGAGAGAAATAGTTTTGTTTTTGTTGTTTATTATAAAGTTTTAAATATACTAATTTGTGAAATTGCTTTTTTTTTATTTCTAGGTGGTCCTGTCGAATAAAGGTGGTCCAAAAATAATACATAATAATTTCATGTACACATTACATAAGAAACATCCGTTTAATATTCGATGGCGATGTGTGGCGAGATCTTATTATTGTCGTGGTAGTTTAATAACAACAGCGGATTGTAAAAAGCCTCGAGTTCATATGGAGCACAATCATGAACCTGATTATATTGCCGTGAAAGCAGCGAGGAGACGATATAGGGATCTAGGAAAACCTGCAATAGCGGAATGTAAATATCAACATTTTTCAACTTTTTTCTTTTAAATTTTTGTTCCTTTTTTTCCTTTTTTTAAAGTGTAAATTAACTCCAGCTAAATTTTTAATTTAATCAATTCAAAATGTTATTTATTCAAATTTTATATTATAGAAAAGTTTAATTTATTTTAATCAATCGGAAATTTAATTTAGGGCACAATTTAATCTGAGAAAAATTTATTTTATAGAAAATTCAATTTATTTGAATTTTAATTCTTCATTTTAACTTTTCAATATCGATTCGAATTTTATTTCTAGAACAAAAATTCGATTTAAGTTCAAATTGGTTAAAAAAATCATTTTCCTGAATAATAATCTATTCCAATTTTATTTTTCCAAAATTCCATTTATCTAAATCTTATTTTATTCAAATTTTAATTGTAGAACGGATTTAAATCGATTTAAATTTAAAATGATAAAAAATTTCATTTCTATCTAAAATTCAAAAATTTAATGTAGCATAATTTTTTTAACCAAAATTCAAATTATCAAAATTTTTAAATAGAAATAAATTTTAATTTTAATCCTATAAATTCAAATTTTTGTAATTAATTTATTTTTGAAAAGTAAAACAAAAACAAATTGTAAAAAGTTATTTATTTAAATTTGAAAGGGAAATCTTCACTTATACTTTAAAGTAATTAAATTTTTAATTCCTGAAATATTAATTTAGTTGATGTAAATTTTAATTTATGAGACAATTTTTCTGACATTATTATTTATATAATTATTTCCTTTGCAGTGCAACAATATGATGCAGAAAGACAAGAAGAAAACCAGCAAGAACCAGTTGAATTCAACAATTTTCAAGAGGAACCAATAGAGATTCAAGAGGAGAAAGTTGACGTTAATTCATTGCCTGGTAAATATTTTCCGATCTTTAATATATAAATACTGACATTAATATGATAATTATATTATTAATATTGTCATATTAATATTAAAATAATATTAAACGGTATTAAATTTAATGTTATTTAATAATATATTATCATCTTAATAATAAAGTTAGGTTTGGTTTAGTTTCGTTAATAATTTTTAAAACTTGGTTACTTAGTTGGTTAGTTAATATTAAAATAATAATATTCATATTTTAATATTAATCCTAACATAATTCTTTAAATATACATTTTTACTCTCAATTTCAAAAAGATATATAAAAAGCCCAGTGGGCGAAAAATTTACATAAAAAAAAAGGTCAGCTAATTATGGTCGTTGCTCGTCGAATCTATAAATGACCCCCCCCCTGGAGTAAATTCTGGATCCGCCACTGAAAAAGCCAAAATTTCTCACTATATCAAAGCACATTCGGTATTTAAATGAAAAATTTGTCTCAAAAATCGACAATTTTCCATTTCAGAACCAAAAACGAACGAACGAACGAACGTATTTAATCTCGTTTTTAATCAATTTCATTTTCGAATCAGGAGAATACTAATTATATTCGCATGTTAATGATAAAATGCAAAAGATTATCTTTTATTCGAAAATAATAAAACAATGAGTCGAAAATTAAATTAAAATAAATTAGAAAACAATCTCTCTGAGATAATTATATTAACATCCGTCAAAATTAAAAATCTTAGCGAAAAAAACTATTAATTTATTTACAGGCGGGACAGCTGTCTCTAACTATTAACTATTGCTGTTAATTATCATTTTTAATTTTCCTAATAATTTTAAAAGTATAATTTTTTATTTTCAAAAAAGAGAGAATTTTCTTTGAGAGAAAGATGAGGAAAAATAGTAGGGAAATAATAGAGAGAAGAGAGAAAAAATAGCTTGGCCTATAATCAATCTTGGTTTATTATCGAGGTAATTGATTCTGTTCACCCCCTGACCTGACCAGCAGTTGGATCATTCCTGCGCGCGTTTGTCAGTTCAATATGTATATTTAATATCTATATCGTGAGGATCTCGGTGAGGATCAAATTTTAACAATGACAATATAGTAATTGTCGAAAATCTTGATAACGCATCACCGATATGTTGTGCGCGCACATATTTACGTTTCTACACAAGCTTGTATTTGTATCTACAGACATTGAATGTGTAGCCGGTCTTTTTTAATGTCGTTCGCGATCGATGCAGAATTCGCGGGGTGAGCCGATGTTAACCGGTTGGATAGTAGGATGAACCCGGGTGCGCATTCACGATAGCACTGGATATAATGCGTCGACGACCGGCGGCGCCGTCGCACATGCGCGTCCTCAAAACACTATCCTAAGGGCCACCGATTTCGATTTTAGTCATTCCCGGGTTCGGCTTGAGGGAAAATCGTTTTCTCCTCTTCAGTGTTATAGTTTCAAAAAGAAATTCAAAAGAGCAATACATTTTTTTTCTACTAACACAGAAAAATAAAATAAGATTTTCATATTTGTTTTCATTTTCCGAGAGATCAAACGTGATCACATTTTTTGACAAAAACAATTGATTTTTAATTTCACGAGCTTGCGGAAAGAAAATGGATGAGAGATACAAGAGAGAGGCGTATGAGTAATTTTGTAATTGTGGCAGTAATTAATTTTTTTTAATGATAATTTTTAGTTTGTGTGTAGAGAGGAAAAAAGCAAGAAATTCAAGTGCGTCGAAATATTGAAGTGAGAACGAGTCGTCAACGTCGTCATAGTCGTGAATTCACCACACATATAACCGGCAAAAGCTCAAGGAAGAGGAGAGAGAGATAGGAAAGAGGGGAGAATCTGTGACAAGAGAGGGAGAAATCAACCCCAAATCAACTTTAGGAGAGAGAAAGAGGAAGTACGAGAAAATGCTTAAAACGAAAAGTCAATTTCTTTTTGCTTGAAAATTTACTCCAAAATTTACTCAAAAAATAAATAAATACATATAAAACAAAAATAAACAAAGCAAAACAAAAATATAAGGAAGGAAACAGAAAAGTATATTTGGAAAAATATTTGATGGGAAAAAAAATATTGAAGCTTGAATGTAAACTTGAAAGTACATTCGCGAGTGGAAAAAAACACTGATTGTCATTAATAATTTTATTCCGTCTCTGTTAATTCACAAAAAGGTTTGAATTAAGAAAAACAAATTTATTTTGTCCTTGGCAAATTTATTTTGGACACTTCCAAATAGAAAATATATTTTTCACATAATAATAATATATATAATATAATATATTTTGTAAAATACATTTTGTATTTGGAAAAATAATTTATAAAAATACCAAAATATATTTTGTCCTTGGAAAATACATTTTTTATTTGAAAAATACGTTTTCTTTTTGAAAAAAACATATTCTATTTGGAAATTGCATTTTCTATTTAAAAAATACTTTTTCTTAATGGAAAATGCATTTTAGAAAAAATAATTTCATTAACGATATTGTTGACAAATATTTCAATAATTAATGAAAAAATTAGATTTTTTATCGCGAAATCCACTTTTCTGTGGCGAAAATTACCGATTTTTTCATGTCATCGTAAGAAAAAATGAAAATTTGTTCACAGCAATTTTAAATATCACACTTGATGAATATTCGAGTAACATTTCGAAATAAGAAATATATATATGTACTTATTATCGGTTCGGGGAGATTATAGTAGCTTTTTATAGAATCGCTTCGCTTAGAGACCGGCAACGACGACGACGACGGTCTTTCAATGGCGTCGAGCTCGCATATGCTGATAATAATAGTGACCATCACACATTTTGGAGCGAAATAGATCGTTAGTTGGGAATGTTACAATTTCAATGTGAATCATTTTTTTCATTATATTTTTTAAAAATACTTTTCATTGTATTTTTTAATTTATTCTTTTACGTTGATTTTTTTATTTATTTTTTCTATAATTCGTAGATTTCGTAGCAATTTTATTTTTATATATACATATTTTTTATAATTCATAAATTTCGTATTTAATTTTTCGCACGAAAAACAAAATTTCTTATTTTTTATTTTTCTCAATATTATTATCGTTTTTTAATTAAGTTTCCACAAAATGTAATATTTGTATTCTTCCAAAATTTGAGACTTTGTTATTAATGATAATTTAAATTAGCGGAAGAAATTCACATTTTTTATTAAAATTCTGACATATACATTAATAGATAATAATAATTTAAATTATAACAAACCAAAAAGTTGAAATTGCAAATTTTTTTTGAAAATTCGACAATTCAAGTTGAATGCGGTAAAAATATTTATAAGAAAAAAATGTTATACAGACAAGTACATATAATTTAGACTAATTTGAATTGAGGTCAGTGTTTTAATTTATGAAAGTAATAATTTTAATTTCGAATAATTGTAAAAATGTTCATTTCTTTCACTAATTTGAATTATTATCTTTATAATATCAAAATTTCAATTTTAATGGGAATGAAAATTTGAAGAAATTTGAATATTATTTTAATTATTTTAATATTGTTTTTGTTAAAAATTTTTATTACCTAGTATTAATTAATTTTTTATGAATTATTATATTTATTTATTTATATTAATTATTTCATATTATTACTGGATATTAATTAATATTTACATATTATTAATTATTTTTTTATATTTGCAAATTACTAAAATTTGCATATAACACTCTTCATAAATTTATTTCTATTTACTCTAAATAATAATATATAAAGTTTTCAAAATATTATTATCTTCTTGTGTGAAAAAGCTCTGAATTTTGATACTTTCACTTTTTCTCTATTGAAAAAACAGAACTCTATTTTAATTCTATTATATGGTGGTATCTAGAAGTTTTGAAAATGTGCGCACGAGTGGCGTCACCTTTGTGCGTTTTGTTATATGTATAATGTATATTCAGTGAAACTTTCATGCGATGATCACCACGTGTTCTGACAAAACGTAAACTATATTTTCATTTTTCTCTTTTTAAATAGATACACATGTAAGTTACAAATTTTGTTTACTAAAACAATTATTTTAATTGCAAATGCACAAATTATTAATTTAATAGTAATAATAACATTAAATTTTAATTGTGACTAATAATATCGATAATATTATTCAATTTTAATGTATATTAGCCAATATTATAATATTTAAATTTAAATTTTATTTACTAAAAAATATTTAGCAAATCGCACAAATTATTAATTTATTAATATTAAATTATAATTGTGATTATCGATAAATAAGCAATATTATATTTAAATCTTTTGTAAAAGAGAGCTTTATATATTTCATTAATATTTTTATTTCTGGAAACTTCATAGACTGTATCGATTTTATCTCTATTTCTATAATCTCTTAAAAGATTCAAAAAGTCTTCTTTTTTTAATTAAAATAGAGTCAATAAATTAAAATTATTCGATAATGAAATCGCATTTAAGTTAATTGTATTTAAGTTTTTTTAGGAAATAATTTTTTTGCATTAAATTATATTTATAAAAGCCCGATAATACAGTAAATATTTTTTATATAGAAATATAATTTCTAGAAATGTCAAGAAGGGGAAATAATTTCTTTACGATTCTCGAGATTGTAATTTCTTGTATTGTATTTTAAATTTTAGACTTTATTTTATATTAAGTTAAGACGCATGACTATTCCCGAAATCTTATTTGACATAATAGTCATTTGACATAAATGTCAAATAAATTTCAAATTAAATGTTTTTTATACCAAATAGATTTTTTGTCAAATGAAATTTATGGTAAATGGTTTTGACATACATTTCATTAAACATACAATTTATATTGCATAAATTGCATTTAATATGATATATCCATTTGATACATATTTCATTAGACATAACATTTATATAACATATATGTCATTTGACATAGAATTAATTCAACATACATTTTATTTGATATAAAAATCATTTAGCATAATTTCGATTTAACGTAAAAATACAATTGACTTAAATTTTATTTCACAGAAAAATCACTTGACATATATTTCAATTGACATAAGTTTTATTTGACATAAAATTAATTTGAGGTAAAATTTGTTTAACATATATGTCATTTGACATAAAATACATTTAATAAATTTTATTTTGTCCTAAAATTCATTTGTCATAAATGTCATTTGACATAAATTTCACTTGACATAAATTTCATTTGATATAAATGTCATTTAATATAATTCTCATTTAACATAAATTTCATTTTACATAAAGTTCATTTGACATAAAAGACATTTAACATAATTCTCATTTGTCATAAAAGTCATTCAACAAAATTCTCATTTGACATAAAAATCATTTTACACAAATTACATTTTACATAAAAATATCGGCGCGAATTTTAAAAGTAACCAATTAGATATTATCAACAACATTATGATTCGCCAATTTTGAAATTCGCGCCTATATTTTCATGTCAAATGATCTTTATGTAAAATGAAATCTATGACAACTGAATTTTATGTCAAATGAGAATTATGTGTAATGGCATTTATGCCAAATAAAATTTATATCAATTTAATTTTATGTTAAATAATAATTATGTATGTTAAATGATATTCACGTCAAATGAGATTTATGTCAATCGAATTTTAAGTCTAATGATATTTATGTCAAATGGATTTTGTGTCAAATGAGAATTACGTTAAATGACATTTATGCCAAATGAAATTGATGTCAAATGAATTTTATAACAAATAAAATTTACGTTAAATGAATTTTATCAAAGAAATTTATGTTACATAATTTTTATGTCAAATGGGAATTAAGTTATCTGAGTTTTATGTAACATAATATTTCTGTTAAATGAATTCTATGACAAATGATATTTATGTTAAATCGTTTTTGTGTGCAATGAAATTTATGACAAATAATGTTCATATTATGTGAATTTTAAGTTAAGTAGTTTTATAGCAAATAACTATTTGGTCAAAAAAGATTTCTGGAATAAGCATGCGCCTCATTAAGTTTTGTCGAAAAAACATATTTTTTCACCTTGGAGTAAATTTTCAATGTCAAAAAGAATATCGAACAAAAAATAAATACCTGGGTGAAGTTCACAACCAAGAAGACCAAGAAGCCACGCTTTTGCTCTTTTCAAATTCTTTTGTTTACAATTTAATTTTACGAAATTTCAATTATACTGACATTCTTGAATTAAATATATTAGAAATTAAAAACTTTACATAAATAATTAAAAAAAATTCCATTAAACTTATTGAGAGAAATTAATTCTATAAAATTCTTAATTAACCCCTTCCCTGTTTGAAAAATTATTCATATAAGTGACCCAAAATGTCCAGCAAAATCTGGTCAATGAATTTTTATGAAACTTAGTATACAAGGGTTTTTGGGGTCGCTGAATTCAAATATGACGACAAAAAAATTCAAAATGGCGGATTCAATATGGCGGACAAAATTTTTCAATTTTAAACAAATATTTATAAAAATTAGTATGCAAGGGTTTTTGAGGTCGCTGAATTCAAATATGACGTGAAAAAAAATTCAATATGACGGACAAAATTTTTCAATTTCAAACAGAATTTCTAAAAATGAATATGAAATTCGAATTCAGCGACCTAAAATTACCCTAGTTGGGTCGCAAACAATCTGGGCCATCTTTTTTCACGACCCACCGTTGGGTCGCAAACAGGCAACGGGTTAAAGGTATGAAAAGTTCAAATTTTCAAATATTTTAATTTGATATTCATTTTTAAATCAATATTTATTAGAAAATTCTACGAGAATTAAATTATTTAACTATAAAAATAAATCTTGTATTAAAGAATTGAATGTTTCTTAAAATTGAATTTTCATAAAGAATTTTATCAACAAATTTTTAAATAATTGAATTCTCTTGAC